GCCTTAAGACAGACCATCGACCCTAGAACTTGACCCTTTTTTTTTTTTTTTTTTTTTTTTTTTTGACCCTACCTGTAGCCTGAAGCTACTACCCACAGACTTGTCGCAATGCCGGGTTTCACAATGGTCTATGGAACCCGGCATTGGAAGAGGGGAGCAATTCATTGTTGATTGGCGCTGCAGCCGCTGCCTATTATTGATGAAGAGGGATTGATGCCAGGGGGATGTCATCAATGTCATCATGGAGTTTCTTTGCTGTAGTTGCTGGCCTTTGATCCTTGGGCATTGTTACTTCAAGATTCATAACTCTATATATTCATGATTAAAGATGAGATTGAGGTTGAGATTGAGGTTGAGATTGAGGCTGATGAAGAAGAGGAGAGGTGGCAAGACAAGGTTATTACATTGTGCTCATGTTCTGTGGTGGACCCACCGGGTGAGGTGCTCCACCTGGGATAGAGATGGACATGGAGGATGAGGGTGGAGCAAGATGACACAGCGCAGCTCCCATGCAAGACTCCAACGCACGTACTCCAAACTGTGCGAATGCAGAATGATCCCAAGTACAGACTCTGGCTGGGGTATACCCCAGTGGACTGACTGCACTGGACTGGACGGGACTGGCTGGTACCGACAGAGGTACCGGCCTGGACTGGATTACCCCGAATACAACACAGGCCTGTGGGAACTGGCCAAGGGGCTGGTCTCACAGGCCAACCAGAGGTCCGCTACATGTTCAATGCTTCTTCTCTTGTTCTTCTCCCTCCCTTTCTTAGTTATATTCTTCGCACTCGGGTGGCTCACATTTGGGCTTCCCAATTGGATCACAGACACTTGAACTTGGAGGATCCTTAATACCCTCCAGTGACATTATGTACTAGACAGCACGGAATATCTCTCTCTCTCTCTCTCTCTCTCTCTCTCTCTCTCTCTCTCTCTCTCTCTCTCTCACACACACACACACACACACACACACACACACACACACACACACACACACACTCATTCCTTGCTATGTGTGGCTGCATGATTTTTACTATTCTCCCTCATTGACGGAGAGGGCAAAGAACTTTCAGCAATACAAAAAAGGCTAGTGGTTATAGCATACACGCAGTGCATACGATTATGTAAGGGGGAGCCCTTGGGCTCAAAACATGGCTGTACGTTATTTACTGGGATCAGACACACACAGAGGGAAGATAGGAAGATTGCCGAAAAAGAGGAAAAGGTGGAAGAAGGAAGCAGGAGCGAGGCACAGGGAGGGCGAAAACTAAAGAATCATTACAGCACTCGAAAGAAAGAGGGGGGGGGGGGGGGGGGGGGGGCACACGAACATGAACCTGGCCTCCTACCTTTCTGCGCAGTAGTCCTCTGGCGACCCCTACTGGCCACTGGCACCTGTTCTGTGTCAGAAGACGCCAAGGCACTCAGTTGCCGATCAAGTGCTTCCAGGGTTTCCCTTGCTCGCTTCTGCCTGTCGGAATCATCCCCTCCTGCACCCTCACCTCCTCCTCCTAACGACGACCAGTCTTGTTCCGGGACCTCCACACTCAAGGCCTGCTCTTTTTGCTGCTGCTGCTCCTGCTCTTGTTGTTCATCAACCAGTCCGTCACCATCACCAGCAGCAGAAGCACAACATAGCGTCATTCGGCGGCGGGCGCCCGGAAAGTCAGCCAGATACGTTTGCCCATGACCATGCCTGCACGACGACACCGGGTATCCACAGGTAGCCACCTCTGCGGGCCTCTGGGACTTCGGCGGCCATCGCTGCTCACAATAAATTGTGTCTACAGCAGTGAAACTCCGCACTCCCTGCCCACCAGTCATGTTTCTACATAAGGATGGCAACTGCTTGTTTCTACTTCGCTTCTTATCTGGGTCGCAAATGGCTCTTATCCCATCACCAAGTCTCGGAAATGCCGCCGTCCGCACACAGGTCATGGTCGCCACCCTGCTGCGCACCCCTCGTCCACGATTTTACCCAGATTTCCCACAGATTTAAACCCCCAATTAACCCAGATGAAAAGAACACAACTACTGACCCTTCACTCCTCCCCTTCCCCCACCTCCAGCTCAACCCCAACAAACATAAAAAAAAGAAGATACCCACACTTGTCAGCACTGTGTTCCACAGCTTTGACTCCCAACTGCCCTGGTGTAGAAGGGTATCTTTTTTTTTTTATCTTTCTTGGGGGTCACCTATCCATGATTTGCAGGCCTTCGTCAGCACAAGTTTCCCACTGCAATGGTCTCCTACTCTCCCCACCTTTACCGTTCCCTCCCTCCCTTTGTCAAACATAAACACAAGTCCCCTTCTCCTTCTTTTCACACGGTGTGCAAGTTAATAATGAAACCCTTCGCCATTAAGAAAGAAGAAGAAGAAGAGAAAGAGGATCACTAGACCAAAAAAAAAAGATTCGCGGCATGAGCTCTGCACGACGCACATCTACCCAGTCGACAATTGGTCGTCTTTGACACACACACCCCGACCTGATCTAATCAACGGTCAGACAAAAATGATTAAGAAAAAAGCATGAGATCTGCACTACGCCCATTCACAAGGTAATCTGGTTGAGTTGGAGCACACCCCCACGCACGACGCCGAATCGGATGGGGAACATGAGAAACGATTACGAAAAGCCTAGATCAGATCGCACATTCTCTTTCTGATTAGAGTTATATTTATTCAAGTAAAAGAACACATTTCCAACTAAGTTTCCAACAAACGAAACTTTTTTTCTAACTGCCGGGAGAAACAGTTGGACGTCGCCAACCGAAGATAGGGCTAATTTGATTAGCCCTAACTTGGGCATTCATCAGTTCTAACTTTTTTTCTAACTGCGGTTGGCGAAGTCCAACTGTGAGGGGTATATAGCATGACCTGAGGAGGGAGAGTATGAGGATTGCTAATCTATATCCTGACCATGAGCACCAAGGAGTGTTGAAGAGTATGCTTCCCTGCAGAAACGACATCAGCAGTGGAGCTACTGAACGTACAACCCGGCTACGCAACGTTTTTTATCCAGCACCGCTCCGTAAAGAGGTTTACATGCAGTTACTGCAGGGACATGACGGCAATTACGGCAAACAGAGACCGTGTCATGAGCTTAATACGTCGTTGCAGCTGTGTATATTGTCCGTGCATCAGAAGAAGTATCTGCACACACAAATAAACAGAGAAGAAACAGACAGACAGACAGACAGACAGACAGTCAAACAGGAAGAGATAGACGGGGGGAGAGAGAGAGAGAGAGAGAGAGAGAGAGAGAGAGAGAGAGAGAGAGAGAGAGAGAGAGAGAGAGAGAGAGAGAGAGAGAGAGAGA